GTCAGTCCTGGTTTGGTTCCAATCTGGTCCTCATCTCAGTCCCGATCTCAGTCCTGGTCTGAGTCCCAGTGTCTCAATCCTGGTCTGGTCCCGGTCTCAGTCCCAGTGTCAGTCCCGGTGTCAGTCCTGGTTTGGTCCCAATCTGGTCCTGGTCTCAGTCCCGATCTCAGTCCTGGTCTGGTCCTGGTTCAGTTCAGTCCGGCAACGGGAAACGTTATCCGTTTTTTCCATTCTTCATTTAAACACAAAATCCAAAACTGAAACACAAATCGTTATCCGTTTTTTTCATTTTGGTTTTTGGAGACAAATAATGAAGAAAATAGTTTTTTTGTTTTCTTATTTTTCATTTTATTTTGAAAAACGAATGATACACGGTCTGAGAGTTGTGAAAAGCGCTTATAAACTCATCACGGCGAATAATTAGGACGCTCGGAACTCTTAAGGTAAGCGAGGAATAACTTCGGCCCACTGCAAACTGTTTTTATGTTTTTTCAAGTCACTAAAAATCAAGTACGACGCCTTTAATGTGTCTTCCAGCCGTCTATTTTTAAAACCACTTCACAGAGCGCTACACTTCCACGCACATTCCAGTAACAATTCCCCGTTTTTCCCCGTTGCAACGCTGCTCGTATCCATTACACCGCGAACACGTAAGAACACACCGAAGACATGTGGACTGACCAGACACCGGCCCGGCTGAGTTACGAGATACCCGCCCGGACATGTGCTTCGGATTAAGAGGTGATAATCGCGATGAAAATCCCCCTCGCTATCACGCGGCAGACTGTGAGAAGGGGCCCGAGCGCCGCCGCCGAGAGCCCAGACGCGGAGCTCCCGGGCTGGGGGAGAGGAGAGGGGGAAAGCCGGGGCCAGGCCTGGTTCTAATCACGGGGGGATCTACCTGCGGAGAGAAGGTAACAGTATCAAAGAGCCAACATACCTCAAGAGCACGGACGAAAAAAAAAACTGGATCTGTGGTGCAGGAATGTCATGTAAAAATGTAAAAATTACGAGAAAAAAAAAAAAAAAATGTAAATATGGAGTAGGGGTGGTGCAGTGGGTTGAGCGACTGCCCATTAACGAGAAGGTAACTGGTTCAAAACTAACACAAGATTGCTCATCTTTATTGGGGAAGACAATTTGGGATTAATTTTTGGTATTTATAAATAAATTAAAAAAAGTGACGGTGGTGCAGTGAGTTGAGCGAATGCCCATTAATGAGAAGGTAACTGGTTCAAATCTCTTACAAGTTTGTTCGTCTTTATTGTAGAAGACAATTTAGGTTTAAATTTTGGTATTAAAAAAATAATAATAATAAAAAAAAGGTGATGGTGGTGCAGTGGGTTGAGCGACTGCCCATTAACGAGAAGGTAACGGGTTCAAATCTCTTACAAGTTTGCTCATTTTCATTGCAGAAGACAATTTAGGTTTAAATTTTGGTTAAAAAAAAAAAAAAAAACAATGTAAAAATGGTGATGGTGGTGTAGTGGGTTGAGTGACACTGCCCATTAACGAGAAGGTAACTGGTTCAAATCTCACACAGGTTTGCTCATCTTTATTGGATAAAACAATACAAATAAAAATTTTGGTATTAAAAAAAAAAAAAAGTGATGGTGGTGCAGTGGGTTGAGTGACACCGCCCATTAACGAGAAGGTAACTGGTTCAAATCTCTTTACAAGTTTGCTCATTTTCATTGCAGAAGACAATTTAGGTTTAAATTTTGGTAAAAAAAACAAAAAAAAACAATGTAAAAAGGGTGATGGTGGTGCAGTGGGTTGAGTGACTGCCCATTAACGAGAAGGTAACCGGTTCAAATCTCTTACAAGTTTGCTCATCTTCATTGGATAAAACAATACAAGTTAAAATTTTGTATTGGTATTAAAAAAAAAAGGTGATGGTGGTGCAGTGGGTTGAGTGACACTGCCCATTAACGAGAAGGTAACTGGTTCAAATCTCTTATAAGTTTGCTCATTTTCATTGCAGAAGACAATTTAGGTTTAAATTTTATTATATAAGAAAACAAATGTAAAATAGGGTGATGGTGGTGCAGTGGGTTGAGTGACACCGCCCATTAACGAGAAGGTAACTGGTGTAATGGTTTCAAATTCTTACAAGTTTGCTCATCTTATTGGATAAAACAAGATACAAAGTTAAAATTTTGTAATTGGGAAAAAAAAAGGTGATGGTGGTGCAGTGGTTTGAGCGACCTGGCCCATTAACGAAAAGGTAACTGGTTCAAATCTCACACCAGGTTTGCTCATCTTTATTGGATAAATAAAATACAAATAAAAAATTTGGTATTCAAAAAAATATATGTTATAGGGTGATGGTGGTGCAGTGTGTTGAGCCGACTGCCCACTAACGAGAAGAGAACCTGGTTCAAACCTCTTACAAACTCATGTTTATTGGATTAGACAATATAGTTTTCAATTTGGGTGACAAAAAATATATGTTATAGGTAGTGGTGGTGCAGTGGGTTGAGTGACCGACCACTAACCAGGTGGTAACTGGTTCAAATCTCCATATACATACAAGTGTTTACGTCGTTCGTGGGTCAGTTCGATACAGGCACAACTTTGGCAAATATTAGGAGGTGACAGTGGTGCATTCGGTCAGTTTTCTGCCCTCAAACCATGGGGTAAACAGTTCAAACCTAACCCTTATAAGTCTGTCCATTTTTAACCGAATAAGAAAAGTTAGTTTTGGTAAAATTAATTTGATAATTTAATATAATACAGAGCTGGGTAGAGTTTCTGCCCTCAAACCACAGGATAAACGGTTCAAATCATAAAATCCAACTCTGCCCAACAAGTAGCATTATGTCAAATTTCTGCCCAGCAACCAGAAGTTAAAGGGTTCAAACTTTTAATTCCAAGCCAGCCCTATAATACACGCAAAATTACAGCATACAGAAGAAAATTAATATGAGCTAATGGTGGTGCAGAGGTTCAGTATCAGCCCATCAACCAGAAGGTAACTGGTTCAAATCTGGCCCCTTCGAGTATTCGCTTCTTTAGTGAAAGTAACATTCATATTGAAAAAAAAATCTGTATTCCCAGTGTGTACCCATTATTTAAGAATTGTGACAAAAGTAGGTCAGATGTCTAAATTAATTTAAAGTAACCCAGGACTAAAAAAAAAAACAGCTTAAGGGTCTCAAAAGTGTCTGTTTTTTAAACAATAATGAGTTAATTTTGCCACTAAAACATTCATATGTGACACTGGAGGCAAGACAGATGACGGGTCTTGCCCAAGGACACAACAACAGTATCACATGGTTTCCAAAACAGTGACTGCTTTTGATTTATGCTGCAATAAATCAACAACAAGTAATTTAGGGGGAAATAGTTCCCTTTTTTGTTGTTTAAATAAAAAAATAAACGTTTAAATTGTGAATGGGAGGTAATTAGAAATAGGCCAGATGTAAGATGTGTTCATAAAAGTGTCTATACTATGACTGTTCCAATTCTTATTAATATATTGTTTCATATGGAGTATTATTTCCCAGAGCAGACCGGGCCCTGAACGCCCCATGTCCCTTCATTAGAGCGGCCAGTGCCCGGTGTCTTCTGCCTGGTAACAGTGGACTTAATGGGGCTTGGCGGTGGGTGCTGACAGGCTGCGATCATAATGGGAGTCACCGATCTATCAGGACCCTCCCGCACCCCCCTCACCCACGTGCACTCTCCTCACCCACGTGCACCCGCCTCACCCCCCGTGCGTCAGAGCGGGCCGTGCGTGCGCGCAGGCCCGGGGTGTCAGCTCGGATGGTCCCTGTGCCCCGTCACCAGAGCGCGGTTCACGTGCGCGGAGCAGCAGCGCGCGCTCATCAGACGCACGTGTTTGTGGAAGTGGCTTCAAAGCCGACCCTGGTCTGAGGAGGCCTGGAGCACGAACAGGAGCAGCCCCGGAGAGAGAGCGGGGCACGGGGCACGGGCTCCTGCAGAGGGGCGAACCCACGAGGCACAGCGGAGCGCACGAGAGAACGGAGCACAGGACACGGGAGACTCGTTTTTACTCCAGCTTATTAGAAAATCTATTATATTGAAATGTATAGTTTTTTTTTTTTTTTGTAAATATATATCAAATCCAAAATGGTATTAAAATTGCTTTATAGGAATACAGTTTTATTTATCAAAATATATTTATATCCGACCCATTATACAATTATTCATTTTAACATTTTTGAAATTTGAATTAATCAAATCAATGTTCAGTTAATTTTCTAAATACAAAAATCTCTTTTGGATAATGACACAATATAGAACACATTTTACATGGTAATTATGCATTTATTAGTCGTTAACAAATCGACAGCATCGCAGCACCGTGCGTAAAACACACGACACACAGATAAAGATGGCTTCCTTCTCCCTCGGGTATAAAACTATTTTAATATTAATACAAATATAGAAGTAATCAACATATGAATACAACTAAAATGTATATATTTATGATAATGTTAATTTGATGAAAGCATTTCAAAAAATAAATCCACAAAATTCTGTTTTGTAAAACAGGCCAAAACACGAGAAGCGCTGTGCGTAAAATCTCCACATCTTTAGTTCTAATTAGACTAATTATTAGATTTCACTCGGCACAGACTACATCTGTACATTACAATAAAACAAAAAGAAAATAGGACCGAGTCTATATTTGTTTTCTATTGTGGCGCGCGCTCTGCTCCAAACCCACCGTGCCCGGCTCGTGCGCACACAGACGGCTGCAGGGCTCCGTACAAACGGTGAGCTCGTGCGTTTATCCCGGTCCCGTTACGGAAGAACACTCGAGCTCCACGCGCTGCCCGCAGTCTCGTACCTGCGCTCAGACCGGGTTATAACGGGAAGGATTTGTTTTGGACAAAGTGGAGCGCGGTGACGCAGCGCAGCGCCATTGGCTACGCGGCTCCAGCCCCTCCCGTACATAAAGTCTGTGAGAGTGAGTGTAGTGAACACAGCAGCCGGCCCTGTCAGGAGCCACACTCCTCCGTGCGCCTTTACGCGCTCCGCACTGGCACCAACTCAAGGAAACACCACATTTTGGACAGAAATGGACTTTTAAGCAGACGTTTTACCGGAGAGAGATGCACTCCGCGGCACGGCGCGTGTAAACGCAGTGATCTGAGCGAGGCGCACGAGCTCAGAGCACAACTTGTAGCCCGTTTTAGGAGCGGACATTTTTCTTTCTAAACTGTCTTCTTTCTTCTCTAAAATTGGCTCCCGTACAAACAGCCGCGTTGGATCCCACGGCGTACTGCGAGACTCCGGTCTACAACCCGGATCTCTGCCCGAACATGATCGCCGCGCAGGCCAAGCTCGTGTACCACCTCAATAAGTACTACAACGAGAAATGCCAGTCCCGCAAAGCGGCCATCTCCAAAACCATCCGCGAGGTGTGCAAGGTGGTGTCGGACGTGCTGAAAGAGGTGGAGGTGCAGGAGCCGCGCTTCATCAGCTCTCTCAGCGAGATGGACAACCGCTTCGAGGGGCTGGAGGTCATCTCCCCCACGGAGTTCGAGGTGGTGCTCTATCTCAACCAGATGGGCGTCTTCAACTTCGTGGATGACGGCTCGCTCCCGGGCTGCGCGGTGCTGAAGCTGAGCGACGGCCGCAAGAGGAGCATGTCTCTCTGGGTAGAGTTCATCACAGCGTCCGGTTACCTCTCCGCGCGGAAGATCCGCTCCCGGTTCCAAACACTGGTGGCGCAGGCCGTGGATAAGTGCAGCTACAGAGACGTGGTCAAAATGGTGGCGGACACGAGCGAGGTCAAGCTGCGCATCAGAGACCGGTACGTGGTGCAGATCACCCCCGCCTTTAAGTGCACCGGGATCTGGCCCCGCAGCGCAGCGCACTGGCCGCTGCCGCACATCCCGTGGCCCGGGCCCAACCGCGTTGCCGAGGTCAAGGCTGAAGGGTTCAACCTGCTGTCCAAAGAGTGCTACTCTCTGAACGGGAAGCAGAGCTCCGCGGAGAGCGACGCCTGGGTGCTCCAGTTTGCGGAGGCCGAGAACAGGCTGCTGCTGGGCGGCTGCAGGAAGAAGTGTTTATCGGTGCTGAAAGCGCTACGGGACCGGCATCTAGAACTGCCCGGACAACCGCTCAACAACTACCACATGAAGACTCTGGTGTCCTACGAGTGCGAGAAGCACCCAAGGGAGTCGGACTGGGACGAGAACTGCCTCGGGGACCGCCTCAACGGGATTCTATTGCAGCTTATTTCGTGTTTGCAGTGCAGGCGCTGCCCGCACTATTTCCTGCCTAACTTAGACCTGTTCCAGGGAAAGCCGCACTCTGCGTTGGAGAACGCGGCCAAACAGACGTGGCGCCTGGCGAGAGAGATTCTGACCAACCCCAAGAGCCTGGAGAAACTCTGAGGTAACTCTAGTCCACACTGCGGGCACGGCCTGGACCGGCCCGGCCTTACCCGGAACTGCCCTGATCTCTATCTGTTCTGGCCCGATGCGGACGCTTTTCTAGCCTCAGTTTGAGCGAGCACCTTTGACCCAGTCCGCATAGGAGACGTTAAATGATTGGCCTGTTTTGAAGCGCTTGTTCCACGCGTGTACATTAGCTGTAAATAGCCCTCGCCCCCGTGGTCTGCTGTGAGTGTCGTGACGCACCTGTCTCCGTTCCACAGTGCTCCTGTTTACATGTGACGTACAGCATCAGACATTCCATCGGTTTTTACTTGAATCCTCTTTATTTAAGTCCTGACCTTGGTGGTTTTGTTCTCCATAGGCCTAAACTCAAATGAGACGTATAAATATAGTATATATCTATTACATTCTAATTGAAAAAATGCACTTGAAATACACTGGATTTAACATCTGTGATCTGATTTTTTATTCTGTCTTTCATCTAATTTAAAGAGCTAATAAAGCAGCTGTTTTATATTTGTGTCCCTACCTTGGATTTGTTCTTTTTGAATATTTCAATCATTCTTAAAAACATGGAAAATATTTTCACTGGTTTTACTGTGGGATTATAGGACACAGTCTAATCTTCAACATCATCTGGATGCTGTTCATTTGCGGTGCGTAATTCCGGAAAATTCGCGGGGCATTGTGCGCCATAACGTGGTACAATGAAGCGCACGATTCACTGGAGTAACTGCTGTATTTCTATTAAAATCTGAATAAAATTATCACATAATTATTCACAGTTTGATGCCAACAATATGCGAGAACAGACGTGCGTAAAAAAGAAACCAAATAGGCAATTACACAATTCTCAAATGCGTAAAATGTATTAATTAATGTTAGGGGAGTTTTTCTTTTTTATTATTATTATTTTGAAATATTTATTCTCTTTGTCAATAATTGTAATTTTAATTTGCAGTGTCTTGGAAATGGCGGATTAATACCAGATTAACAGCACATACACTAACAGGTTGTCTCTTACCTTGGCGTCCGCCGCTCGGAACCCCGGGTCGTTTTCATCCGCCTCGAAGTAGATCTCGGTGGCGGTGATGTACGCGGTGCCGTTAGCCACGAGAGCAGGGGCCACGAGCTGCGCCGGGCTGCTCAGAACCACGGGGCCTGCGCACGGGAACAAGGGGACAAAGCCATGGCACCAGTCTGAGCACACAGGCACTAGTATACACCGAATTTGCACAGTTAAATTGCAAAATTTGTGCTCGATGAAACGTAAAATTGACTGGAATTAAGTAAAAGTAAAAAGTAAGCCCACAATACTACTCGCAGCATTTTAACCACTTGCAATTACATTGTAGATTTACACTAAATTACTAGCAGATTTACAAATTCTCTTAAAAAAAAAAGTAAAATTAACCTACCCAAAAGATCTACTCAAAAACAGTAACGTGAGTATTTGTAATTAGTTACTTTCGACCCCCTTCTGTGTGTATACTTTGTGTGCATCATGTGGAACGCGATAAATTTTTTGCTTTGACACTTTTACCCATCTTATTTTTATTTTGTTTTACAGAAATATTTTAAAACATCATCTGTATTTAATAATTACCGGTGTACATTGTGCGTAAATTGTGCGTAAATTGTGCGTAACCGTGCGCTTGTCTTGTACGTTTATCCAAAATTATCCAAAATTATAATTTTTTTTTTCAGTTTTTTTTTTCTTTTTTTTTTTCTTTTTACACTGATGGTAAACGCAGCTCATTTGATTCGTTAAAACATTTCATGAGCTAGTTTTATTTTATGAACGACCCTGAAGAAATTACGCACAGGATTTAGTGACCGTAACACAAAATAATAGCCATTTCAGAGTTTACGTAAAATGAAGAGATTTTTATTTAGTTTCCAACGTGTAAATGTGCTGGACTCGTCACAATGAATAGAAATTATTATAAAAACAACAGAAACAACAACAAAAAACATTCAAGAATACGCACGGTTCATTAAAACATGGTGACACTGTTTCAGAAATCAATACCAAAGTGAATTATTTTAAATAATTTTTTCGCTTTACGTGTGTGGTGTTACGCGTAATGGTTTCTCCCACGTATACAACAATTCCTTTAGTTATTTGATTTTTATTTTTATGCAAATCCACGCGTGTATCTGCTCCATCTCTTTGTACGCATTGTTCTAACACACGGCTCTGCTCTGACATCCCCTCTCGTCCACGTTCCCCCCCGCCCGCCGCTGCCCCATTCGTCTCCCCCTCCGCGTAAACCTCTCCAAATCGGGATATTTATCGATCGCTGAATCTCCAAAGAGCCACTTTAAAGTCTCATCAATCTTAATCAGGGGCCACTCGCTGCTCGCTCGCTGCTCGCTCGGTCGCTCGCAGCCGATAGTGTAACCGGAGCCCGGCGCGGAACAGCCAGGCTCGCTCCCCCGCTCCCAGCGCGCCCTCCGCGGCTCTTTCTCTCTCTCTTTCCCCCCCTTCCTCCTTCCTCCGTCCTCACGTCTCCATTATCGGTGCTGCGCTCGCTCTCCGTATCTGGGACGAGATCAGGAGCCGAGGTTACGCGCGCTATATACGGACATGATGTTGTTCCAAATAACCCCCTTTACGCGTAAACACAGAGAGAGAGTGGATAGTTTTACGGACACGGGACTCCGAGCGGAATTTAAAGCTGGAGCTGCTGTTTTGTTTGGCTTAAAGATGCTAAATAATGTCAGGGAAACGAGTCGTCTAATGTAGAGTACTCCAGTTACAAACAGATAACTAGAATAATCAGATTACGCAATAATACGATCTGATTTTGAGGGAAAGTGAAACAAAAATGAATTTTAAAACAACTAACATTTTCCATTTAATTTTTTGTATTTATCGTGTTAATAGTATTTTTTTTTTTTTTTTGCTTGCGTGAACAATAAGAGAGAAATCAGATTATTCATATCAGATGTGACTATTGACATGACATTACAGTGATTTGATAACTCGGGAAATGAGATTATGACCGGATTTTGTGTTGTGTGATTTTACGAACACGGGACTCCGATTGGAGTTTAAAGATGGAGTTGCTGTTTTCTTTGGCTAAAAGATGCAAAATAACGTCATTGAAACGACTCGTCTAATGTAGGGTAGTCTCCTTACAAACAGATAACAAGAATAATCAGACTACGCAATAATAAAATCAGATTTTTGCACGAAAGCAAAACGAAAATGAATTTTAAAACAACTTTTTAACATTTTCCATTACATTTTTTGGTATTTATAATATTTTTCGGTATATGAAAGAAATCAGATTACTCATATCAAATGCAGCTGTTGATATGACATTACAGTGATCTGATAACTCAGGAAATCAGATTATGATCGGATTTTGTGTTTTTCGGTTTACGCTTTTACGAACACGGTACTCTGAGTGGGATTTAAAGATGGAGCTGCTGTTTTGTTTAGCTTAAAGATGCTAAATAATGTCAGGGAAACGAGTTGTCTAATGTAGAGTACTCCAGTTACAAACAGATAACTAGAATAATCAGATTGCGCAATAATAAAATCAGATTTTTGCACAAAATCAAAACGAAAATGAATTTTAAAACAACTCTTTAACATTTTCCATTTAATTTGTTTTGTATTTATCGTGTTAATAGTAATTTTTTTTTTGCTTGCGTGAACAATATGAGAGAAATCAGATTACTCATATCAGATGTGACTATTGACACGCCATTGCAGTGATTTGACAACTCGGGAAATCAGATTATGACCGGATTTTGCGTTTTATGTTTTTTACAAAAACTGGACTCCGATTGGAGTATAAAGCTGGGGTTGCTGTTTTCTTTGGCTAAAAGATGCTAAATAACATCAGTGAAACGAGTTGTTTAATGTAGAGTACTCCAGTTACAAACAGATAACTAAAATAATCAGATTACGCAATAATACAATCTGATTTTTGGGGAAAGAGAAACGAAAATGAATTTTAAAACGACTAACATTTTCCATTTAATTATTTGTCGCATTAATAGTCATTATTTTGCTTGCGTGAACAATATGAGAGAAATCAGATTACTATATCAGATGTGACTATTGACATGTCCTATTGACAGTGATTTGGTAACTCGGGAAATCAGATTATGATCGGATTTTGTGTTTTAGGGTTTACGGTATTACAAACACGGTACTCTGAGTGGAATTTAAAGCTGAAGTTGCTGTTTTCTTTGGCTAAAAGATGCAAAATAATGTCAGGGAAACGAGTCGTTTAATGCAGAGTACTCCAGTTACAAACAGATAACTAGAACAATCAGATTACACAATAATATGATCTGATTTTGCATGAAAGTGAAACCAAAATGAATTTTAAAACAGCTAACATTTTCCATTAATTATTTCTCGCATTAGTAGTAATTATTTTGCTTGTGTGAACAAGATGAGAGAAATCAGATTACTCATATCAGATGCAGCTGTTGATATGACATTACAGTGATCTGATAACTCGGGAAATCAGATTATGATCGAATTTTGTGTTTTCTGGTTTACGGTTTTATAGACACGGGACTCCGGTTGGAATTTAAAGCTGGAGCTGCTGTTTTCTTTGGCTAAAAGATGCTAAATAACGTCAGTGAAATGAGTCGTCTAATGTAGAGTACTCCAGTTACAAACAGATAACTAGAATAATCAGATTATGCAATAATTAGATCTGTTTTTTGCGGGAAAGAGAAATTAATTTTAAAACAACTCTTTAACATTTTCCATTTACTGTTTTTGTATTTACCGCATTAGTAGAAATTAATTTTTTGCTTGTTTGAACAATGTGAGAGAAATCAGATTACTCATATCAAATAGAGATGTTGACATGGCATTACAGTAATCTGATAACTCGGAAAATCAGATTATGATCGGATTTTTGGCGTGCATGTAAACTAAAAAGGAAATGATGTAATATCGGTGCGTGATCAGTGACCGGAAGTAAATTTCTCATTCGTTTTTCTTATAGACTTTGCGAAAATATTAATACTAAAAACTCATCAGCTAAAAACTACTCAGATATGTGGTAACTATGGCAACGAGGCCTTTAATTGTATTTAAAACCCGTTTCTCATTACTGTTTGTTTATCCCAGGGGAAATTCACATGACGATGAAAACAAAACCATAGCAACACTGCCTTAAAGGTGCATTATGTAAAGTTTTGGTTGCTTGTTTCTATGGAGATGTCGTTACTCTGCCTGGAATGTTCCGCAGTGTGACATTAAACAGCTGTACTTTACATTTATTCAATTACAGGTGGATTTAAAGATCAAAAATACTAGAAAAACATGCTTTCTGACTGTGAGCGGGGTCGCCTCTCCGCAGATCTGACCTGTGACTTGGTCTGGCTTGGTTTCCATGGAGATATAAATGTTTAATGCCGTACTGTGGAACATTCCAGACCAAGCAATGACATCTCCACGGAGAAAAGCAACCCCGACGAACCCTCCACTACAAAAGTTACACACTAAAATAAATGGGTAATAATAGAGACTTTGCCGTGACGTTACGCTGGGGGTGTTCTACATGCGTGTGCGTCGGTGGAATGTTTGGACGTTACCATGGAGACACGATGCACACATGAGCAAAGGCAGCGAAGAAAAGATTTAAGCTTAAGTCCGAAAACTCAAGAAGATGAAACACAAAACGGATTTAAACAGCAGATTTTCAGGAGTTTTCTGAAAGTTATTAAAAGTGCATTACGTAGCTTTTCAGGTTACCACGGAGACGCTACTGCTTCACCTGTAATGTTCCACAATATACTATTAAACTTAAGATGCATATATAAGATGTATTTTTTCAATTATGGGTGTTTTTATTGATAAAAAGTAATAAATTTAGAAACTATCCGGTGGCATCTCCTGCTTGTTACTGTGGAGACTGAAAAGTTTAATGCCATACTTTGGAATATTAGAGGTAAAGCAATAACATTTCCATAGAGACAAGTAATTCTCGACCCTCTATACCAGAAAAGTTACATAGTGCACCTTGAAAACATTTCGTAGAATCTTGCGTTTTAAAAAGAAAATAAAAGTCAATGGGAAAATGAATGGAAAAGTACAGCATCCTGCATTTATTTAAATATTTAAGGAGCTTGTTTTTAATATTTTAATGTGAAATTTTCTGAAGAATGAAAAAAAAAAA